AGGATTGGGCCAAATGAAATCAGATGAGGTTTAACAAGGACAAGTGCAGAGTCCTGCACTTAGGACGGAAGAATCCCATGCACCTCTACAGACTAGGGACCGAATGACTAGGCAGCAGTTCTGCAGAAAAGGACCTAGGGGTTACAGTAGACAAGAAGCTGGATATGAGTAAACAGTGTGCCCTTGTTGCCAAGAAGGCCAATGGCATTTTGGGATGTTTAAGTAGGGGCATTGCCAGCAGATCGAGGGACGTGATCGTTCCCCTCTATTCGACATTGGTGAGGCCTCATCTGGAGTACTGTGTCCAGTTTTGGGCCCCACACTACAAGAAGGATGTGGAAAAATTGGAAAGAGTCCAGCGGAGGGCAACAAATATGATTAGGGGACTGGAACACATGACTTATGAGGAGAGGCTGAGGGAACTGGGATGTTTAGTCTTCAGAAGAGAAGAATGAGGGGGGATTTGATAGCTGCTTTCAACTACCTGAAAGGGGGTTCCAAAGAGGATGGCTCTAGACTGTTCTCAGTGGTAGCAGATGACAGAACAAGGAATAATGGTCTCAGGTTGCAGTGGGGGAGGTTTAGGTTGGATATTAGGAAAAACTTTTTCACTCGGAGGGTGGTGAAACACTGGAATGCGTTACCTAGGGAGGTGGTGGAATCTCCTTCCTACGAAGTTTTTAAGGTCAGGCTTGACAAAGCCCTGGCTGGGATGATTTAATTGGGGATTGGTCCTGCTTTGAGCAGGGGGTTGGACTAGATGACCTCCTGAGGTCCCTTCTAATCCTGATATTCTATGATTCTATGACATACAGAGATGTCCTGAAGAGTGAAGGGCTCTCTCCCATTCTTCTTCCCCTCTGACATGGGTGTTGGGATGCAATCCAGACCAGTAAGAGTTGTGTCACTACTTGCCCTGCAGCCCGGGGTGTCTCACAATGCTTTGCTTCTGTAGTTCCCAACCTGGGATGCTCCCAACCAGCCTACACCCTGAGTGTCTATGTTTTAAACAGCCCTTGTTCATCAGCTCTGACCCCAGCAGATAGTCTACAGCTCCACTGTGGCTTCCACCAGCTGTGGTTACAACCAGAAAGGTGACACTAACATACTCCCAGTCTTGAATTTCTCTAAAATTGTGCTCTGCAACATCCAGCCCTCTTCTGGATAGTTCAGAGAAACAATAAGGTTTATTGTGCCTTTAAAAAGACCAAAAAAAATCACACCTTATTAACTCAAGTGGAGTAAATACACCCTTCCCTTCAAACACCACTGAGTTGGTTTATATTAAAACTAAAACAAATGTATTAATAATAGGACATAGGTTAAATGATGCCAAATAAAAGGAATAAAGTTAGAAAGGGTTACAAACAAATAATAGTGAAAACACGCATCTAAAAGTCTAAAACTTAATCTAGCAAGGTACAGACTTTGTTCAAGACGGTTTCTCTTACCAATCTTCCTTCTTCCCATCCATGGCTGACTTTCTCTCAGTCAGAACCTTTCACAGAAGTACAAGGGGCTGGCTTCCCTTGTCTGTCTAGGAGAAAGATCTTTGCCTAAGCAGGTTTCTCACCTATGTTTGGTTCCCAGAGACTTCAACCCCCTTTGGCTGAAGGACCCATCTTTCTCAGCTTGCAAGAGCTCTGTTCCCTTGTGTCTGTCTAGTGATAGATGCCAAAGGTGGCTTCTGTCCTTGCTTATATCTTCCAAAGTTCAATTTCTTGGTTTCAAAAGGCAAGATGACCTCATGCTGTTTTTCACTTCCTGTGGCTTTTCCACCCCCCTGCTGATTTCTGTGTAAATGGAGCTTCCATTGTTTCTCATCACACCTTGTTTAATTTCACTGGAGACAGGTTGATGTCTGGGGAATGCATGTTTCCCCCTTTGTTTGATCACAGATTGTAAAGCCTCATACGAATGAGTACCCACAATTCCTTGCGCAGTAATAATACATACAATTCACAATGATATTAATCACCAGTGTGTCCCAGGCTTTCATAAAAGACCTCACACAATATACTTTATAATACAGTAATATTTTATACAATCAGTTGATTCAATTGCTTATCAGTTGAGATTCAGCCCCCACATCTTTATTGATCAGTAAACATTTGCAATATATTTTTTGAAAAGTAAAACCCCGACCAAGCTTCTCGCCTGTCTCCTCCCCAACTTGTTAGCTTAGTTTACCTATTGTGTAAAAATCGACCTTCATTGTCTTTGCCTGAAGATCCTGCTGGTCAGAGAATCAAATACACATTCCTTTGCCTAGGCCAGACTGCTTATGCATTGCTTGCCAAACAAACAATTTTTAACAATATAATTCTAGTGCCTATTCATAAGTTTTTGTATGCACTCTGTGCATATATCATGCAAGAGTATCGATGATCAGTAAGCTATTAGTTTTCTAATGATATCTTACATGACACCTTTTAGATATAGATTATAACCATAGTGAGTTGGGTACGCTGAATTGGTCACACCAGCTGAAACTCATTACCGGATATCAGTGAGCCCCTTGTCCTCTGGCATTGGGATGCCCTTAGGGTCACACCTCCCACCCACCCCCTTACAAAGCTGCAGAAGGGTTAGCCACAGGCTGACCTGGAGGCAGCAGATCAGAGCCCTCTTTCCTGAGCAAGGCATCTGCCATCATATTTTCTTTCCCCTTTGTAAAGAAACAACCTGTTTTGTCAGTTTTGTCTGTTTACGGTCTCCAGGACACAATAACTGACAGTATCCAAAATTTCTCCTAGCAACTTGTTACACACATTTCACAGTGATATTATTGACCAGTGTATTATTACATTTCAAACAATATAGTACATGTCACCTTTTAAATAAATATTATGACACCTGTACATGAGATTTAGTGAGTATGTCAGGCCTGATAAGAGATGCTGACAGAGAGGGAACCACAACTGGGCTGTTGTGTCCCACTTTCACTGCGGTTCCCATTGCTCCCTGGTCCATGAAGGGATCTAGTGAAAGACGTACCAAACCCTATAATCCCCAGGTGTGATATTATTGATTAAAATATGACCACGTATATCATTGTTGCTACCACTGCTATACAATTGCAACAAATTGTTGCAAGGTATGTCATGCAAGGTGTCAATGGAAAAGTTATCATTTGCTGAATATGATTATTAGTGTGCATGTATCATTTTCATATCTAAAGTTATGAATATTGACTATATACCTGTATTTCAAATGTGTTTGCTCCTGGGTAACACTCACAAGGTAGTTTACATCCACTCTAGTCAGCATGTTGTGAATGGACTATTCAAGTTGATGACACATCAACAAACACAATGGGCCATGGAAGAAGCTTATCCCCACCTAATGGACTTTCCTGTGGATGTTGCAGTCAGAATATGGGGAATGGCCCCTGCTGACTCACTGAAGCATGCAAGGGCATGTGACCAGCTCAGGTGACACTGGACTCCATATTGTGCCTGTACTTTTCCACTGACTGAACTGAGAGCACACCCACCATATGACAGAAAGTATAAAAGGCCCTGGAAACATCTCCATTTTGCCTCTTTCCTGCTCTAATCCCTGGACTATGGATTTATGGAAACATTCTAATCAAGGAACTGAGGTCCTTCCAATCATTCGGAAGCAACCATAGACTTAATGAGCCAGCAGTTTATGCCATCACTGCTTCAAGCTTGATCCACAAACTTTGCAATTATTGTATGTATTTGATTCCTTTAACCAATTTTAACTCTCACCTCTCTTTTTTCTTATAAATAAACCTTTAGATATTAGATACTAAAGGATTGGCAACAGTGTGATTATTGTGTAAGATCCGAGTTATATATTGACCTGGGTATGTGGCTGGTCCTCTGGGATCAGAAGAACACTTTAGTTGATGAAATTGGTTTTAAATAACCACTCATCATTAAGTCTAGTGTCCGGGAGGTGAAACCAGGTCTGGGATACCTAAGGAGACTGCATTTCTGATTTCTTGACAACCAGTGTGATGAGACAGAAGTTTACTTTTGTTCCTGGTTTGGTATATCTTATGGAAGAATAACCACCAGTTTTGGGTAGCAGTTTTTCCTGAATCTGGTATTCTCAGTGGTGACCCACTGAGGCGTGGTCACACCAGATTACAGTCACTCTACTTAGGGAGGGAAGATTAGAGTTCCCTGACCCTTCAGGCTGCCATCGATCCCCAGTCCCATCAAAGAGTCTGGGGAACAGGGTCTTATTCTGGTCATCCCATCAGCTTCTGTTGCTCTCAGGAGTCAGGAATCCTGGGAAGCTACCATCTTGTTCCAAGCTCAGAAACAGCAGCAGATCTGCTGTTGTGTTCCTGAAAAACACCCTCTTCCAGGGCAGGGCAAAAAAATCACATACCTAAAGGCATCCCAGAACAAAGAGTAAGAGTGATGTCATCATGAAAGTGACAGAAAGTGAAAATAATCAACAAACCAATGAAAGTGAATACACAAAGTGCTCTCAAAAGAACAAAGTAAAGTGAAAAAAGTTTTTTTTGGCTAACTTCTCTGTTACACCAATAGTAGGTGTTACTTGGTATGGTAGAAATAAAAAATTGTCAGAAAATACGATTTTCAAGTGGATGCTGTTTTGATCTATTTTACAGAGAGGGGATATTAATCATTACACCAATTTAGTCTATAAAACCTGCAATAACCTCTTTAACTTCCATCAGAATATTAGCCAGAGATGGGCCGAACAGACCTTGACATAGTCTCACCTGAACAGCAGCACTGTTTTAGTACTATACTGAAGTCCTAAGATTGTAGGGACCTAGCAGAGTAGCTGACAGGGGGCGCAAAAGGGGCAGCGCTCTAAAGGCAGCTGGGTACAAGCCAGTACTGGCGGCCACTTTTTACCAGTACGCTGTACCAGCCTGTATCGGCTTACTTTACCTCCTGAGCAAATTAAATGTGTAAAAACGCTGCGTGCCTATGATCATTGCGTCTTCCTCCGTAGGCTGGCTCCATCTTAGACGCTCAGATTCCCCGGCTGCGATCCAGGCTCCGAGCTTGGCCTATAGCCCGGCCTGTGGGGCTGCAGCCGCGGCGCCTAGGGCCCTCCCTGCAGCAGGGCTGAGAGCAGAGGAAGCTCCAGCCTCCTGCATTGTGCGCCGGCCCCCACTCCCTCCTCCTCCGCCAGTCTAGAGCGTGTCCTCCCGGGCGGTGGCCGACGTTAGCTAAGGCTGCGATCCCGGGCGCCGCGCAGTGCACACGGGTAAGGGGGTCCCGGCGCAACAGAGGCAGCAAGGCCCCGCCGGGGAGGGGGTACTGACTCCGGCCTGAGGCAGGGAGCAGCTGTCCGGCATGGGGTCCGACTGCAGCCGGAGCGGGCAGGGGGAGATGGGAGCCGTCAGTCCCCTTGCCCCTTGCGAGATTGGGCTGTTGCCTGGGGCGCTCTCTGCAGTGTTCGCCCCCTGGGGCACTCGGGAGACCTCCGGCGTGAGTTACTTTGTGAGTTACTTTGTGCCGTGGCCAGCAGGGCTGGGGAGAGACTGCGGCCAGGGCTGAGCTGCTGTGCGCGGCAGCTGAGCTGATCACTGCCGGGCCCGGGCCCTGGCCCTGGGCCACCCTTCCTGCGTGGGCTTCCCACTGGACTCCGCACCCTTTGCCAGGGTGGGAATGAGGCGGTGGGGCTCGGGCGGGAGCTGGAGCTTTAGGACCCTGGGAGTGGGAAAGGTCCCCTCCGCTGCTGGCTCGGACTAGTTGATTATGATTAGGCTTCTTGCGTTCGCTGAATAATTGCAGGCTAGTCAGGCAAGTCGTGTGCTTCCGTTCACAAAGTTGAAAATTGTCATTTGCAGCAAGTTGAACTTCATGCAAAGTGCAAACTCTCGCAGTAGCTGTTGAGAAGTGTAGTGTAGCTTGTGCACTAACAGGAACAGCACTAACTACTACCCTCCTCCCTGGTTGTGTGGAAAATGCCAATTTCTTTCTGAATGCTGCTGTTCCCAAAGTCACAGCTCAGGGGCGCCATTTCGGATTTTGGTTGGGGGGAGAGGGAGAGGGCAACTTTAACCGTGATTCCAAGGCCTCCTTAGGCACCTGACAACTCTAGGGTTTTGTTTTTCTGTTTTTTTTGCAGATAACTTAGAAATTACCTTAGAGAAGCACTGTATCTAATTCTTATATAAAAAGGGTGTTACCTGATAAGAGCACTGTATCTAATTCCTATATAAAAAGAGGATTTAATGAATATTAGACCCACTCAGGTCTAATACTAACACATGTTCTCACATCTTGTGTCAAGTCACTTAAGTAACACTGATTAGGTTTAAATGTTTTAGGTATATTCTTTGTTACTAACTCTTGAATACAACAATTGAAGCAAAATTGAAACAGAAAAATCTAGATTAGTTTCTATCACTTTTTTGAAGTTCAACAAATTTGGAATAGATCATTTAACTTTGGAAACATCTTACTAGGGCAAGTCCCCCATGAGTTTATACTGCACCTGCCTGGGGCTCTAGAGGTGTCACCTTATGACAAATAACAGACTAGAAACTAACCTTAAACAGGAGTGAAACTGACACTTTCAAGTCACTTTCACAGTATTGCCAATCCCAAATGTTCAAAAATCATGAATCAGGCTCATCAGAATCATGAGATTGGTTTTAAAATCGTGAGATTATGTGAAAATAACAGATTTGGAGTTCTTTTTATTTGCCTTCTACTTTTTGAGCCTTTAAGGTGCACTGGAGTCACATTTTGAAACTTTCTCCACAGCCACTGTGGAGGACTAGAAACTTAATTTTTTTTTAAGAATGAAGGCTGAAATCATCACATATCCACTTGACTCCAGGAGCTGGCGCTTTACAATTATCATGAGACTCATGACAAAATCATGAGAGTTGGAAACGCTGCTTTTACTTCTGTTTAAAAGCTAGTTTCTTTCCAGAAGCCTCTTAAACACAACACTACAGGGGGTTGCAGCTCTCACAGGAGAATATTTAAAACCAAACACCAAGAACATTTTATATTTTAAAGCTGAGAAAAAAACTGAGACTTCTGAGGTATATCAGGGCCACTGCAGGCTGGAAAAGAAAATAAACAGGCAGAGGAGATCTGGGGAGCTCTTCCTTTAGAAAGAAAGTTGGAGGGTCAAATCTTCTAGTCCTTAATCAACTAAAACTTGTGTTGCTATCAGTGCCTCCACTCAGATGTAAACATCACAGTGAACATGTGATAACATGTGTGGTCAATAACTATACACGCCATACTTAAATATCTGAGCCTCTTTTACAGGCTAAACTTCCATATCCTTAATCACCAGCCCTTTTTTACCTTAATCACCCTGTCTCTGTTTGTAAACACAATACTGACTCCCTGCCTCAGGGGCATCTCTCCTCTGCAGAACTTACATTTCACACTAAGGACTTGTCTACCCTGGCACTTTGCAGCACTGCAACTTTCTCGCTTATGGGGGTGAAAAAACACCCCCCTGAGTGCAGCAAGTTTCAGTGCTGTAAAGCATCAGTGTAGACAGTGCACCAGCGCAGGGAGCCACGCCCCTCGTGGAGGTGTTTTTTTAGAGCGCTGGGAGAGCTCTGCCACGACTACACAAGCCACATTAAAGTGCTGCCACGGCAGCACTTTAACGTGGCCAGTGTAGGCTAGCTCTAATGCTGTGCTGTAGTTAAGAGCTCCACCTGGGAGCTCGCATACCTTCTGTATGAAACTCGGGGGAGGGGGTTCTGCCTTTCCCTGTCCCCCCTCATTGATGCCCTTGGCAGAGCTTTCTGCCTGTCCCGTCTTTACATTTGCCAAAGGATGTCACTCTTAAACCTCTCCTATTTTAAATGATGGTGAACTTAATTGTGGTCCAAAGTTTAAAATATGTTAACCAGTTGCTTATCTGCCATATTGCTAGCTCTGGCATAAATTTTCCAAATTCTTTATTTTTGTGCTGTTTTATAAGAACTACACCAGAGTGCCAAACTTGTGGGGAACAAACAAATACTGCAGTTTATGTGAGGCCAGCTTCTGGACTTCAAATTAAAAATTCCAGGGCCAGATTTTCTGCTGGGATAACTCCACTGAAGTCAGTGGAGTTACACCAGCAGGGAATTTGTCTTCCACTGTTCAAGGAGGCTGCTTCCTGGAGAATATTATGAAAGCAAAGTAATGTGGGAGCCTAGACTTCCCACTAACATACTTGGAGAATGATTGATCAAATTCCTTGGTTTCTTTCTTGCCTGTTCAGTATTCACTAAATGTTTAACTTTTTTCAGCTTGCCTTGAGAGAAACAAGGTTTAGCACAGTAGTGTTCGTGCTACTGGCTGTAGTTAAAATTGTCAACATTTTCCATTATTAGTGAAATTTTCACGGTGGCTAAAATGTAGCCAGTAGTTCTGGCATGAGGGTTTATTTAGTTTAGTTTTAAAAATCTTATTTTTAAGAGATTTTGTTCTACCACTTTTATTACAGAAAGGTAAAGAAAAAAGTCCTGATTACATTCAGTGCCAAGCATCTTCAACTCCTGTGGAAGTCAATGAGACTTTGGGTGCTGAGCACCTTGCAGAATCAGGTCCAGAGAGTTAGTTTTACTGGTTTAAGGTGGAATGCTCATTTTGCTTATGTATGTATGCTTAAGATGGGATATTCTTTCTGCTTATGTATGTATATATAGTGTTCTGATATTTGTGGGAAATAAAAGACTAGTTTCCTAAACTTGTTGGAAAAAATATTAGATACAATCTTTCAAATATGAATGCCTAGAATTAAATTCCTAAGTCTATATTTAGACACTGAGTAAGTGGCGTTATCGTCCCTTTGTTGGAAAACTGATGGTGGCTTGCTCTTCCAACAAACAGGAGATAGTAAGATTCTGAAGGTCAAAGGCTGCTGGAAAATTGTTTCATTGCTACAAACAACAGCTCCGTTTACTTTTTCTTTTAGCCCTATTAAGCCTGCTAGTATTGAACGTTGGAGCTCTGCTTAGGCCTTGTCTACACTGCCACTTTAACTTGTATTGCTCGGGGGTGAAAAAACACCCCCCCGAGCAATACAAGTTTCAGCGCTGTAAAGTGGTAGTGTAGACAGTGCACCAGTGCTGGAAGCTGTGCTCCCAGAGCTGGTAGCTACTCCCCTTGTGGGGGTGGTTTTTTTATGGGTTTATTTTTTTTTTATGGTGCCGCGAGTACAACAGCCATGTTAAAGCGCTGCTGCAGCAGCACTGTGCTTTAACGTTGGTAGTGAAGACATATCTTACATCAGAGGAAACTAAGGGAAAGAGCCTTCTTTCCCCATCTGGAGGCTGAGCCTCTTATAAAATTATTACAATTTAAGGGAGGGAAAAAGTAGGTTTTTGGATAAGAATAAACTTTTGATTGTCTACAGCATTGAAAGTATGTATACAGCAACAAAACATTTTGTGACCTTCATGTAACAACATAAAATCAAACTACTTCTTTGAATATTTGCATGAATACCCTGATCGAAATGAGCACTTAATATTATACTGTATAAATAGCTGTGGTTGAGAGCATAAAAATAGTTTGGCCATCATAGAGTATGGCCAGAAGTTACACTGGAGCAATATTAGGATTATAAATCAAGCCAACAGGAAATTCCAAGTTAAGGCAGATATTCTGCCCTTACTTAACATACACATATGAACTCCCCTCCCCTTCCCGCCCCCAATAACAAGAACACAGAATTTCTGTGACTCTGAGTTTTTTGGCTTGTTGCAATCTTAATGGACCGAACTTTCAGGCAGGCCTGCCGAAATCTAGGCTTCTAAATCCGTATTTAGACATTGAACTTGCAGCCCGTATGAATATAAGCCTAGTGGCAGACTTACTTAATTAAGCAAGTTAAAGAGCAAAACTCCACAATGAACTTCCCCTTGCTTCATATAGTTGAGAAATGAGATTTTATTGCTCCAAATAATTCTTTCTACTTCAATAGTATTTTCTATTTAGGGATTTCAAAGCACTTCAAGGGTATAAGAGCAACACTATCAGTCACCCACAGTTTTTAAAGTTTTCTTGATAGGTATAAATATCACTCTCCCTACCGCCTTTAAGCCAGTCAGTGCAGCAAACATGTATCTTAAAAACATACACATCTCCACCCCAACTAAAACAGCAAATTATACATCTGGATGTGAATCCAAATTAGGCTCTTCTAGGGACCAGTTTTGATAGTTACTGACAGTGCACTCATCAAAAATTTGGTCTGAGTGAAGGCTATGAAGAAGCCATTGTCAGTAAATG